GATGCTAATGACGGTGGAGGCTCTCACCGGATATCAATTAGGTATTACGAGGGCGGCACTGAAAATTTCGGGAATCAAGGAAGTGACACAACATTACTATTTAAAAATGTATTTATTGCTTTTCGAAGTATTCTCCGCGAAATTTGACACATTTTTCCAGACGATGGAACCAATAATTGAAGCAACCATTCCATTCGGAAGTTGGGGTCTCCTAAATGGCCGTTTTGTAGGCGTCCACAGCTTCTTCAGGTGATGAAAATCTCTGTCCACGCAATTTATTCCTTATTTTAGGGAAAGTATAGAAATCATTAGGGCTTAGGTCGGGGCTGTACGGTGGGTGGTCTAATAATTCTATGTTTTCTTGCTCTAAAAACTCTTTTGTTCTGTGTGCGGTGTGAGAACTCGCATTGTCGTGATGGAGGATGATGCGGCGGTTGCAGTTCTCTTTACGGAATTCAGAAACGACCTGTGGCAAACAAATGCTAGCATACCATTCTGCATTAACCGTTCTTTATCCCTCAAGAGGAATAGTCGTAACATGGCCAGTTTTGGAGACAAACGTGGCCACCATTTTTTTTGCAACACTCCGTGAACGAACAATTTTTGTTGGCTTTAACTCATTTTCGAACACCCAAACTCGTGACTGGTTTTTTATTTCGGGTTCGTACGCATATATTCAGAATTCGTCACCTGATACGATGTATACAGCATTTGAGGATCCTGCGTGGAATCTTTCTAGAGTTCTGACGCACCAAGTGTCCCACGCGAGCCACTTTTTGCTCTTCACAAAGCGAATGCGGTATTCATCGGGAAAACAACTTTTTTACACCTAATTGTTCATGCAAGATTATTTGTATTTGACTCATGCCAATGTCTAAAGTTGCGGTATGTCACATGTCGTTCTTCCTCAATCAGCTTATGCACAGCATCAACGTTTTATTGGGTGACTGCAGTTTTTGGACGACCTTGACGGGGATCATCACTGAGCTTGACACGTCCACGTTGAAATTCAGCAAACCAGCGATAAATTGTGGTTTTGGATGGGGCTTCATCACCAAATGCAGAAATCATCCGGTAAACACAGTGTTTTTGTGTTCAACCACTTCGAAAGTCATAATAAATCATCGCTCTTGAATTTTCTCGACTCAATTCCATTTTCTCAACGACTAAAGTAAAGTTTGACAAAACCTTGTGACAAGACCGAGAATCTTTTTTTTAAATAAATAAATGGTATTCGATTTTTAAAACCAAGGAGTTTTCAATAAAAATATTTTAATATGACAGGAACAGTGGAAATATTCCATTCCCGATACTTTTAGTGCAGCCTAGTAGTTAATTGATCTACACATCTCCGGAACCGTGCATACAACGCAAAAACGGACCGCAGATTCGTGATCAGAGCATGCCAAAACTTTGTTTTTTATTTTTTAGAATTGTGAGTCGACGAACGTTGTACCACTCCTGAATCAGTGAGCCAGAAGTGGTACAACGTAACTACTCTTTTACTAAACATTTGTGGGTATGTGGGTGGGTTGGTATGTAGTAGGTATGTGTGTTAAGTTCACATATTGCAAAGTAAGATTTGAACTACTTCCTGATGTCTGATCGAGTTGAAATTTGAAATTTTGTATACCGTAACTTCAGTGCCAATGCAATAATATGATAGATATAACCTGGTGCTGCAGCCATGATTGTTTCCTCACTAGAGAACTCTGCAACGGGTAGTAGTAGGGTCAATAAATTTTGTACGTTAATTTAACTTTGATAGTTTAACACGATTTTTTCACAAACTCCCTCTACAGCCAGCATTGTCTCCTTACGAGGGAGCTCTTTAACGGTTAGTAACATGGACTCGAAACTTGTATTCAAATGAAAATTACCTTTTAAATAATACTAGTTTCTATGGATTTTATCGCGTATATTAACTTTTTTATATACCTGACGCTTCGAGCACCTTACAGCACCCATTGCCTTCTTTCATGGCCCGTGCCCCCTAACGTCACGGGGGCCCCCATGACGAAAGGAATCGGTTCTTATGCTATACATCTTTTTTCTATTTTAGGAAAATATAACCGAGGGCGTTGTTAGTGACTTTCTGGCAACCTTGATTCTTCTTGATTCTGAATTCTCATTTTTAGACAAGTGAAGCCTAAATTTTAGTGTAATAAATAAAAAGATTACACGTATTCATGTTGATATAGAATATTTTCTTTTTTTTATATAAAGTTTAGGAAAGAAACATTAAAGTTTACATTTTTAAGACATTATCTCTGAAATCTGTCAAATATATTACCTCATTGTAAAGTGACGCCGCCCTGGTGGCAGAAAAAGTCGTGGAGCTCTCACTAATGACATATTATATGATTTTTACCAATTATCAATAATAAATGTAAGATCATAGCAGAAAAATGTTCTTGTCATTCACTTTTTTTTATTTTCCAACAGGCCCCCAAATTCTTGTGTGCCCAAGGGCCCCCCGGTATGGCTTAAGACGGCGTTGCCCATGACAAAGAGTATAAAAAGTTAATAGGTGTATAACCCATGGTCACAGGGGGGACCGAGATGTTCAAATTCCAGATCTCATAGTTAACCATCAGTTACCATAGACTAAAATTATTATTATTTTAATTTTCTTTATTATTTAAATGTGTAGTGTTTGCGTAAATATAAGAAATAATTATAATTTAACTACCTATGAATAAATTGTTAGAACAATTTTTATTAAATTGTAATTTTTTCTACTATAGGATCTTTGATTTTATGATATCTCTAAAAATTTATTTTTAAAGTTTTTAGATTCAATTTTCTGGGAATGTATCATTTCTATATACTGTATGTACACTTCACGCCTAATCACCCAAAATTGGGTGTGGGTGTACATACACTTTGTGGAAAAGTAAAAAAAAATAATTCGTAATATGTAATTTCATACTTATCTTCCAATTTTGCTCTTGCCTGATATTGGCTTACCAAACTATCAATACTGTGTTATATTTTTATTTACATATACCATTTTTGCAGTTTTCCTGGAGATCCGAACATAAATAATATGAATAGAAACCATGAGAAGGCTTAACTGGATGCCCACGAAAAATAGTTACATTTGCTCAAACATTTTTCCAGGCTGACTTCTTACTTGTACATCACAAAAGATATTTAAAGGACAATGCAATTCCACATGAAGAAATTGTACACATAACATTAGTATCGGTAAATGTGATCCTGTGAAAGGGATATATTCAAAATCTGAGAATGTGGTCGCTCGAAAAAACAAAGATACAGGTGACGGCACTGAAGAAGAAGCGGATATAAGCTCGAAACGTGGCAAGGCTGTAATAAGTAATAACTGTTTCCTGACATTATATTTAAAAAAAAAAACGGAATATCCTATAAGAAATCATATATAAAATGTATATCTGAAAAATATATCAATATTTCTTGTTAAAAATCTGAGTTGTAAAAAATACCAAACAGCAAATGTTGAACAAATATTCTTCCAAGGTAAATGAATAAAACTTTTTAAAATTAATTTAACTTTTTTTTATAGAATAAGGATGACAAACGAGCACTCAATTCACCCGATGACAAGCGGATGCTGTGGCCCAAACACATCTACATTTAACCTCGATTAAAAATCAAAATGCAGATGTGTGACTAAGATGCAATGCCTCAATTCCAGTAAAACGGATCTCCAGTTCTCTGCACTCACCATACAAAACACAGCAGCATTAAGCTGCTATTTTATGACAGTATTCTGTGAGAGCGTGGTCCCTCCCCCGTCGCTCCGATCCATTCGTACTACAATCATAATATAGCAGCAGCATGGCTCTACTACATATAAAAATATAATAAACGTGTTTTTAAAATTTTCGCCAAGCATGAAACGAAACAAATGTTGACATGAAAACAAAATACTTTAAAGTACGATATGGTAAATCAAGTGGCAAAAACTTGAACGATGAAAATGTCAAAATTAAAGTAATACATAACACTACATATCTCATATGTCATTTGCAATAATTATTACGAATAATCCTTCTAATAATTATCGCTTTTCTAATTTATTTTATTTTACTGACAAAAAATTAATCTGTGATTATAAGAATAAAACACATAAATAGAATTTAAGTTATAAATGGATGTAAAAGAGGCGAGGGATGTGTGTCAGGATCATGATAAATGGAAGTCCGTAGTCTCTGCCTACCCTTCTGGATAACAGACATGGGTGTTTATGTTGTTATGTTACATTATAAATGCAAGGATATGATTAAGTGTTCAATAAATGTTGATTTATACTAATATTACTTTTTAACTGATTTATTTCACCAAAAATTAATTTCATTACAATTTAATTCTAGGAAGTCTCAAAGTCCTGTGACATCCTGGGAATTTGGTAGTGGGATATCTTGCGTCCTGGGACTTTACCCTGTTGAGATTCCCCAAATCCTAGTCCTTGAATAGTAATTGCAGATATCTACAGGCCTGAGTGTCAGGTGGACCATATTATTATTTTATAGAATAAGTATGATAAACAAGCACACAGTCCACCTGATGGTAAGTGGATGCTGTAGCCAATGGACCATCTATCTACACCCTTCCTCGAAAATGAATCAAAATGCACCCTATTGTAATCCATGAGGACTAAGATGAAATGCCTTGTTTCCTTTAAATATGGTCTCCGATACACTCACACTCACCATATATACACTCACCATCCTAAACACAGCAGCATTAAGCTGCATTAATCTTAATGCTGTTGTGCTTTATGTGGTACTACACTGTACACAGTACTCAGCTACGCTGGCATTCTGTAAGAGTGTGATTTTTCCCTGGTTGAGCTAACCCATTCATGCTACAACCATAATTTAGCTGGAGCATGGCTATACCAAGTATAAACATAAGACAATTTGTTACTTTAATACAGTAAAAAACTTGCTCAAAGTCCTCACCATCTAGTGTGTTCTATGTTAAGTCTTTAATACTTATGAATAAAAATTTACCATTTTGGCACGCTGCTCGGCAAAAACATCCATAATCCTTTTCCCTCATCTCATCACTCCACTTTATCATGTCCATACGATACTGCTCCTTGTATTTACTGTCGCTTAAAAGCTCATCTAAACTCAAATTATTTTCTTTCGCCCAATAACTCTTAATTGGTTGGGATATTTTTATGATTTCACATTTATCAATTAACCTGAAAAGTAATAAATTTCTACTACATAATAATAATAACAATAATACAAATAATAATTATGTCCATCAGACCGAATTTCGGTCATGGCAGCCAGTCTTTACAGAGACTACACACAATATTATTTGAGAACCAATCCAAAGCAACAACTTACACATATTACGCATGGTTTTTGTAGAAAAATTACCAGGTTCCACAAAATTATTTATTTTTGCTTTTTAAATAATTTTAAAGTTTAGTACAAATATTATTTATACTAAACTTTAAATTTATTTAAATAGTTCAAAATATGTGATAAGATTTACCCATTACTGTTATGTATTCGGAACTATACTGTGGTGCAATAATTATTATACATTTAAAGATTTTAAAAATTAATAAGCTAAGATCTGCATGAAGAGATCTTCAAGGCAGGTAGAACTCACCATTTTATTTTATTACATGGATCCTAGCTTAACACCTTTAATTTAACTTTAACACCTTTAATATAATGGCTTTCTGCATAGTAGGGGAAAGTGGGGGAATCGGGAACACTTAACTTCTAAAGCTCAAAAATCATAGATTAAAATCACAGACGTAATCAAATTTTACTGCATCATAAATTTTGCTTATCTATCTACTTACTAGTGACAATAAAAATCTTAAAAATCAATGTTTTATTAGAAATATGAACGAAAACAAAAAACATTGCCAATCCTATTTACCCATACCCTATGGGGTAATTGAGATCACCCTGCGGGGGAAAAGGGAACGGTATGTTTACTCCAGACAGATTAAGAACGACGTAATTAAATCTTTAAAATAAACTACAATTATTAATTTATGTGGCACATATCACACACATAACTTTTACTAGTATTGTCGGTAGTACATTTTTCATGAGCCCAGTGTTAACAAATGGTGCACATGATCCAATATTCTATCGGTGGGGATTCATGCTTTTCCTTGCATATTACAGAGTAAAATTCTTCTTCGCTTTCTTTCCTTGTAAAACCTTTGTCAAATATTTGACTTCTTTACCATAGAGTTTTAATGTTCCTTTCTATTATTTTTTTTTTGTAGAAACTTTTTCTTTTTTAACTTTATGATCACTTTTTTATTTTTATTTTTCCTTTAGTTGAATGTTTATTGCAGTGCTGGATAAAATCTGAGAATGCTTCTTATTCTGTCACTTAGAAGTTGTTACTGTTTTAGGAATAACAGGCACATTGATAAGCAAACCCGGTAAGAGGCACAGGAGTGGAAGGAGGAGGAGTATTAATGGTAACACTCAAATCGTCATTTTCAGGAATAGAAGTAGCATCCTGTGTTGGTGTTTGACTATGGCTGACAGTGTTAATGGACTTATTTAAACTTTGCTCAGCTGTAGTTTCACGAACATCGCACTCTTAAGTCTGGCTGGTGTGAAATTGGTCAATGAGCATATTTTCAAAGCTATCTTTAAAAATTTGTTAGCATCCATAGGAAGAATTCCAGCAGCTCTAAATCCATTGAGAGCTTTGGTTATGCTAGCTGTTTCGTTGTATACCTTTGTAAAAGTTCTCCAACCTCGTAATCGCTTATTCATTTGACAGGTTTGTTAACCATATATAGTTCATATTCTTTATTGTATGCCATCTTCAGTGAATTGAAGGTTGTAAGATCCAGTAGCAGCTGCATTTTGTGAGATACATGGGGTGGCGGCGTATGTAATTTCGTAGCACCTAAAGTAATTTGTACCATTAAAACATTTTTACACAATCATCCCAAAGCACTAGGGATAATTAACCCTTTTGCTGTCCCATGTACTACATATAGGTCATTGCTATTGTCTTACTACTGTGTCTGAAAACCGAACAGTGAAAGTGTTAAGAACACAAGGGGTAATTGGGAACATTCTCAATTACCTGCCTAACCCGGTGCCCAATTACCCGAAGTAGTTAATATAAACAAAATGGTCGCCACATTCAACAGTATTTTTCGTGAACTTCAAATCACATTGGGTTTGAAAACAGATAGTACATTGCATGACAGTACCGAAATATGGTGTCTTTGAACTCAAAAATATATTATATACATTTATTATAACACACGACAAAAATATAACAGATGCAAAAAAAAATCGACCCTATGTGTCAGCGCAAGTGCAATTTTTTGCTCTCACTATTGCGTATGCAGAGAGGAGCACTAGATACGTCTGTTAAACAGGTGCAGTACGGGGTAGTGTGGGGGTAAGTATTACCTATCTAGCTGTTCCCAATTACCGGCCGTTCTTAATTCCCCCACTCTCCCCTAACCCCTGGTTCTATTAAATAATTTAACCTTCAAAATATTTGTAATAGTTTTTATTCTTATTTAAATGTATTTATTTATAATCATTTCTTAGCATTGTGGGAAAATTGTATGCTAAGGTACTGATTGAAAGGGTCGTGAAAGAAACTGATGGAAAAATTTGGGATGTGCAAGCGGGATTTAGAAAGGGAATGGGATGTACAGATCAAGTCTTTTCCATGCGCATGATCGCGGAGAAGTTTCTGGCCAAAAACCAAAAGGTTTTTTATGCGTTCATGGACTTGGAAAAGGCCTATGACAGAGTGGATAGGGATTTGCTATGGCAAACACTGAACTCATTTGGGTTGAGCGCTGGCTTGATACAGGCATTGGAGTCTCTGTATAGGGACTCTAGTGCTTGTGTTAGGATCAACGGGGTCTACTCGGACTGGTTTGACATCCATAAAGGTGTCAGACAGGGCTGTGTGGCTTCCCCGTGGCTGTTCAACCTATTTATGGACAGTTGTTTGCAAAATTTAAAAGTTGAAGAATGCGGATTAAGAATGGGTGAGTTAACCGTCAAATGCCTTTTGTACGCCGATGATCAAGTTATTCTTGCGTCGTCGGCGGCCGAGTTGCAAATGATGGTTACATTAATGAACGGATCATTAAAAGAAAGGGGTATGAAAGTGAACGCAAGTAAGACGAAGGTTATGGTTTTTGAAAGAGAAGAAAGTAAAACGATTTGTGAAATAAGAATAGAAGGGGAGTTGATCGAGCAAGTAGATGAGTTTGTATATTTGGGCTGTGTATTTAGCAGGGATGGGAGATATGATAAGGATATAGAACGACGAGTTAATGCGGGAAATAGAGTAAATGGGGCCTTGCACTCTATTGTGAAGAGACAAAATATGTCGAAAAAGGCACGTATGGCAATTCACAATGCTGTGTTGGTTCCTACTTTAACGTATGGTAGTGAAAGTTGGGTGTGGCAGAAGAAGCACGAGAGTAGAATAAACGCAGTAGAAATGCGGTCATTAAGGAGTATGTTAGGGCTGAATCTGAATGACAGGGTAAGAAATTGTGTAATAAGAGAAGAGTGTGGTTTTCAAGATGATGTGGTGACCAGGAATGCTTCGGTGGTTTGGTCATGTGGAAAGAATGAATGAGCAAAGAGTGACAAGAAAATTTATGGTACAGAAGTGAATGGCAGAGTCGGAAAGGGACGTCCTAGGCGAAAATTTATCGACCAAATTGGCGATTTATTGAAAACGGGCCAAATTAGGAGTACCCTTAACCGACGAGCATGTATGCGTAGGTGTATGGATGTGAAGGAGGCAAGAGAGGTGTGTCAGGATCGTGCCAAATGTAAGTCTGTAGTCTCTGCCTACCCCTCTGGGTGACAGGTGTGAGTGTTTATGTCTATGTCTTATTTATAATCATTTGATATAGGGTTCCATAAAATAAAAGGGGTTTGGTAAGTATTCCATTACCTTAAAAGTTAAGGGACCCCCTGAACAGGACACATATTATGAGTGTTACAAGTGACTTGGATAACACAGGCACTCACTAGTCCTAGTATCCCATAATTACAATAACATGAAAATATATAACTAATAACTTAACCTAAATAGAAACAACAAATAACAGTTACGAAATGCAATAAAAAATCATGTAGAGCAAAAGGGTTCTTCATGACCAAAACCTTTCAAATGGGTATTATTCTTTATCCTGTTGTGTTTATACTTTGTTTTGGCAAAACTATCAGATTAGAGCAAATTGACATCAAACCATGTTTTAGAAATTATACGTTTCACCAGCTAATTAAAAAAATCAGTTTAAGCTAATATTAACAGCAATTACTTACACTTTTTGCAAATTATCAGTCAAAAAATCTTTTCCAGATTTCCTTTTCCCACTGAATAACAATATCATCTTAGGCATTTTAACACCAAAATAGGCCAAACAATAATGACCTAAATGGGTACCTAGTTTAAGTTCTTTTAGTTTATAAAGTAAGGAGCAGTCAAGTCAATATAATAGAATTTTGTTCATACTTATTATTATACGGGAAAGTGGGTATTGAAGTGCGTAAAAAAATTGTGAATAAAGATGTATATTGAAATACCATCAAAACAAATTGAAAACAATAACAAGATAGTTTTGAAGTTAGTGCATATTCTGACGGCGTTATCACAATAATATATAGATTTAGAGTACTTCTTATAACCCTAAAAAGAAATATAAAAAATGACGTCAATTGAATTTATCACGCTTGTTCCATTAGTTTACAATTTACATGGTTTACATCAAATTCAAATCACATCACGTATATTCATAACTATTTTCAATTTTTAAATGTCAAAATCAAGCAACAGCGTGAGCGTGACCAGACTTTATTTGACAAATGTACTAAATAAAAAAATGTGCATCAAAAATCCAACAAATTATATTAAATAAAAACCATTTTCTATCCAATTTCCACTGAAACGTTAAAAGCATGTATTATAAAAGCAAATGTAATATGTAGGGTATTTAAAAAGGGGAAATATATTATAATACATATATTTTTAAAACATATCACTTATTGTATAGAAAAATATTAAATGTTTGTAATTTGTATATACACAAAATATTATGTACTCATACAAAATATAATAAAATAATTCTAATATTTCAGAAAAAATATGGAACTAAACAGCGTTTCTACCAATTATACTGTCATATTTTTATATAGGTATATCAGTTTATTAATTGCGACAATAAACACGAAAAGCACTTAACAGCGTCACCAAATCAAGCGTGTAATAATTATACTCAATAAAAAGAAAAATAATTAGTGAGTCGTGTCATATTACAATATACACCTATGGTAGTGGTGATTGCAGTCATGTTTTTCGGGTTTTGCTTTATTTATGTGCACTTTCGAAGAAACAACTCAACTCAAGACTTACAATTACCTACATGCTTCGCAAAACGCACTACATGTATCATGCTTCAAATCTTTAGTAAATATGGGATCTTGCTCTTAATTTTGTCCATAATATTTTCGTTTCATAATTAAGGAAACCACAACATTCTTTCACTTTATGAAAATAAATAGTTCCAAAATTACAAAGAAAACCTAAATACCAAAAATACTGTAACATTTTCAAATACCTATTATGATATGTTTTGAGGGGAGCCAAATATATCAAAATAGTAGAATTCTGCGGTATCTGGTCATTCTAAATCAAAATTGCTTTTGTCTTTTTTGGATATGGACTTGTACGGTAAGTATTTTTGCCAAGGGCTAATGATTTTCTGATCACAAGATGTAGCTAGTTGGGACTGAATTGAAGATATTTGTTACAGTGTTATTTTATTGTAGAAGTTGCGTTGGAAATAAAAGTTTACAAATTAACTTCCACAGGCATAGAATCTGCCGAATATTTCACCTCATTTCCAGTGGCGCCACCCAGGTGGTAGAAAAAGTCGCGGAAACCCACATTTAAGTCTGGTAATATTATTATACCACAAATTGTTTCTTCTATATTTGAACATGGAGCAGTCCATTACAGAGTCGCAATTGCCTCAAATGTACCTACAGAGAGACTGGATGTTTGTAAAGACGACTCACGAATGCAGGATATCATGTCTCATGAGTTAACAGCGTAAGAGAATCAACTACCTCATATCATTACGTGGGTGTCATAAGAAGGAATAGAGGGAAATGAAATAGGAGACGGGTAGAAAAACACAGTCTACGTACTTTTCTCCTTCTTCACCAGCCTTAAGCTCGCAAATACTAAAGGTGACATCTTAATGGATGAATAATACGTGGTATTAGAGCTCCTTTTCTGCCTAAGATTGCGTCTGGGTAGGTTCCACAATGTTACTTAATTTTCACGCTAAGCAATAATGACAGGCTCAGAAAGGCTAGAACCCAGAGCCGTAAAGCCAGTTAATAAGAAAAAGCAATAATGATGTTTGCTCTTCAAGAGTAGGAAACCTAAAAACATCTATATTCTTTTCTACCTGAAGTTCGTAGCAGGTGTCCTAGGGCTACGCTCATTTGTCATCGGAAAGATCATCGATAGACTGTTGCAATACTTATAATACGTGTTGCATCGACAAAATTTTAAGAAACTTTTATCACACCAAAATTATCAATAAATCGTAGCTATTAATGGAGCGAGGCAAATGTTTAGTTTTGATGTAAGAATGTCTACTATCCCATATAGTCCCGTGGATGTCGTAAGAGATGACAGACGGAAACGACAACAGGAGATGTGCAGCAGCACGTTCCTGATAGCAGCTGAATAAAAATAACAAACTGCGGTTGCCAATACGCCCGCCAAGCGTGGCAATTATGGCAGAATACCCTCTATGAGGCAATCTTTGGGAAAGGCTTATGTTTAGCAGGACTTCGATAGGCTGTAACAATAAATTACTATACTTATATATTAAACAAATTATACAATAATATGTAATATCTTCGTTTTAAATTAAAACCATTAGGTACATGAAAGCCATTTTGCTTAAATATTTTAAAAAAGTTAAAAAAAATTATAATAATTCTATACCTTAGGAAACGACAGAATGATGTCTACCTATTGCTAAATGGATGATGCACCCCATAGATGCGTGTAGCGAAATTCAAACAAGTAATACTAGGCGTGCATTTAATGATTCAGCTCCAAAGAACAAAAAGGGTCTCCGGTTCTCTACACTTACGTGATCATAGCGTGAACTTTTTCCGATCGAGCCAACCCTTTCGTGCTACAACACGTACCACGTTGCCTTGACGACAAAAATCTGATGAAGAGAATCTGACTTCACACCACAGAGTACATTGTATATATAAAGCCTCATTTACATTGAGCCCCTGCCACTGCTCCTCGCACTACCGGCAATACAGGTTTTACTGCTATGCCATCTCTTAATTATATAATGAAAAATAATTTCCCTTACTTGGGATTAGATGGCTGGTTAATCTTCGCTAAATACTGCCGTAGCAGGATCGCGGGAAGTGTGTATTTACACTCTGCCCTACCACTCACATCACTTTCGACTATGGCAGACACAGCGTCCGCGTTGTGTCTTCTTGCAATACAATATTATGTTAATAATTTAAAAAGATGTCAAGTTCAAAAGAAGATAGATAGATAGATAGAAAATTTATTTGCTTAAAACATGGTACATAAGCTGATCAATGACGTGGAACTGACATGTTTTGCCATAATTGGTATGCAAAAATGATATGAAATAAGTACAGCTGATTACACAAACCCAATGTTACATTTTAAAATTATTGCATTGCTTAAAAGTTAGGTACAAACATTCTTTTTGAATTCAAATATTATGTACAATTAAGACGACACATCGAAAAGGCTATCGCGGTACTGATCCGAGTGAATACATAATTTTTATAAAAACTTGAAAAAACGCCGTCATAAGGTCTAAAATAGCGTAGCGCCCGCGACGATTAAAAGCGCTTAGAAATTGTCAGAATCTTAAAATATATTTTTTAAAAATTATTGATTTAAGTAATCAAAATAATGAGCAAGTAAATTGTTGATGTTATGAATATATTTGAGTGATTCCCAAGCATATAGATTAAGTAATTTCGTTATAATTTCAACTATAGTGATTTTTTAGAGGTGTTTTCGGAAATAATTATGATCAAGTCAAAATTATACAATCGTGTTTTTGAACAATCAAATTCAAGATAAATACATGGATTTACCTATATCAAAATTCCACTTTCGTTAGTGGTGACTCCTATACTATTCGATGAAAGGAGATGCATTTTTCACGGTGTCGCCTTAAATACTTATACAGATCCACTCTATTTGAATCCTTATACAGTAAATTTTTATAAATTATTAATTGAATTATTACATTATTGTTACAAAAATAATATTAAATATTATATGAGATTAGTTAAGCTATTATTATTTTAATAATTACACTACCGTATAAATTAATTCATAATTTAATTGACAATACAATTATAATTTAAAAATCTACCATTAAACCTTCTACCTTTTATTTCTACCATTTAACTTATTTTACATTTTAATAAATAAATAGTCAATATGAATTACTAATCGTTTTTAGAAATAAAATGCCAATGTTCATTAAGTAATTCCTTAAACTAAATTTTATATTAATATAATAAATTTGACGAATTTATAATTAATTATGTACATAGGTACATAATTAATTATAAATTGTGGTTTTTATCGTTGAAATCCCATATAGTTTTTTTGATTCCATCAGTTCTAAAAACTTTATTGTATTTTCATTATTCCACTCGAAAGGCATTTTCGTAGATCGTACTTATTTAATAACAAGACGGCACGCACGTCCGTTCATCCAGGAGCTTGGCGCGAAGTGAGCGCACTGCCCTGCTCACTTCGCTGCCCAACAGGGCTGAATGCAGCGTTGCCAGATACACTGTAATTACAGCAGATTTACTGTATTTTCACACGATCTACTGTCTACTGTAATACTAAAATTACAGTGTATGGAGAGCACTGTCATTTTCTACAGGCAAAAATCAAAATAGTTTAATGTAAACTGAACGCAGCGTTTGTGAAAAGAAAAAATAACATAAACATAACAAAACTCAACTAGCTACGTATAGTTCATAAAAGATAGCTTGATTTCTGCGACAGCTGTCAGTAAAATCACGCCTATGTAGTCCTGAATTTCTTAGTAGTAGAGACAGTACCTGCCAATGTCATACTTTATGGGCATGCCGACCTACGTAGACAGAGAAACCTATAGACTAATGATCGGCGTGGCCTCGAGTGAGAAAGGACGATAACGAATTTTTAGGTTATACAATAATCTTTATGACTTTTAAACACATTTAAATAAAAAATTTAATTGTTCTAAGAACTGAACTGAACAAGATTCACCAATCTTAGGCTCACAAAACACTTTTTTCTCACTTAAACCAACTTGTAAACTCCTTAAATCGTTACGCTTTTCAAAGTTGTTTAGCAAACTGTAGAGTTTGCTAAACAAAAATACCGGCACGGTGAAAGGGACAAACAATCACACCGCTCTATCTCATTTCTATGCAAGACGTATGCATAAATATATCTTTTTCGTGTGCAAATGCGAAAGAAGGCGTCAATTTGTCTATAGGTTTCTCTGTCTACGAATTAGTGCATGCCCATAAAGTATGACATTGACAGGTACTGACTGTACTGTACTAATAAGAAATTCAGGACTTCATAGGCGTGATTTTTACTGACAGCTGTCGCAGAGATCAAGCTATCTTTTATGAACCATAGAGCCCGCGCCACCTCTCTGCATATGTCACAACCCTTGTTTCTATTGTAATAGGAACGAATATATCTTACTTTAAACGGGCATGATTAGCGGCGGCGGTGGATACTACGCGGGAATTTCCCGTCATAGACTAAAAACCACTTCTTAGTATTAACCACCCAAATTGTGTCAACCGTGTTTTAATTTTGTTTTCAAGCCTATTGGGACTAACTTAAATTAGTATGATTGTAAATTGGTTTCGTATGCAATGCATTACGTTTTTATTTGACTCTTTCAAGCACAGAACACTATCACTCCTATCGGATCTTTCAAGTCTTTCTGTGAAAGTGGTGCAAGTGGTTATTTTGATTAAGGACTTGAGAATTTAAAATGCTTAATTCATCTGATGATAGTGATCAAAGCGGACCATCAATCCAAAAAAAGCAAAAAAGATACATTATTAACAAAAATTCAGAGACGAGTGGTTAAAAGACAATAGTTTGGCTGAAGCGTGACCCAAAAGACCCGTATCGTGCAGTTTGTGTTATGTGTGATGCAAAATTGATAGCTGACAGAGTAGTGATAAAAAGACATTTTGAAGGTGCTAAGCATGTAAAAAGAACTACAGCAGTGCCAGCTCAATCTTCGATTGCTACTGCATTTGAAAAGGTTAAGCAGTCCGATGATGATAAATGCAAAGCATCTGAGATAAAGTTGGCCGCTTTTATGGCAGAGCATAAAATATCCATGAGAGTGATGAACCACTTAGTTGATTTATTGCCCACTATGTTTCCTGACTCTCAGATTGCAAAAAATATGAAAATGAAGAGAACAAAATGTCAAGCAATAGTAAACAATATTCTAGGAGAATCGGAAAAACAAGATTTGTGTGCAGATCTAAAGGAGCAAAAATTCTCTGTCATGATTGATGAAAGCACTGATATCGGAGCAGTAAAAACTATGTATGTTGTGGTCAGATATTACTGTGCACTAAAAGGTCAAATTGTTAACAGATATTGGGACCTAATTCAAATACATTGCGAGGAAAACTCTGCTCCGGTAGCTACCGCCACAGCACAACATCTTTTCGAAGCCGTAATAAAATCCTTCGAGGAAAATACTATTCCTATTGAAAATATTATAGGATTTTGATCAGACGGGTGTAATACTATGATGGGGTGTCACAACTCTGTTTTGAGTCGATTTAGAGCAAAATGTCATGTCAAAGAAATAGCAGCAGAGAAAAAAAGGATTTCAAAAAAGAAATGCCGAAATTTTTTGATTAAAGCCTGCGAAGGCATCCGCAAAACATTCGCTCTAAATGATCCAGTATTGGTTGGGATATCCAAATTGGATCCTGAAACATGTCTCGATATGTCAGATAGCGATGAATCAATTCAATATATACTAAGCTTAATGCCAAGATTTACACCAACTTCTATGATAGAACAACAAGCTTTGGATGACCAATGGAGAAAATTGCCAAAGTTAAAAGGAAATTTCGATGCTGCAATACGGCCTGATGAGTTCTGGCACAAGGTTAGTAACTAAGACTCTATATTTTTTTAGAAATACAATATTTTTAATACTAATGTTGCTTTTCAGGTGAAACAGTAGGACGAGTTCCGCTTGATTGGAAAATACATGCTCAACATCTTGGCTCTTCCTAACTCCAATGCGGAATGCGAGAAAATTTTCAGTCCAATTAACGACACCTAAACCAAGAAACGAAATAGATTAATAACCAGCACAATAAGAGGCAACATGTTAGCGCAACAAATCATTCGGCGTCACAGCACCAGTTGCGTTAACTTTAAACCAACTGAGAAAATGATAAAATCATTTAATTCTGGGATCTACAAAAAAGAATCGGATATCGGGCTACATGATAGTGACAGTGATTAATTAATGTATAATTATATATAGGTATTATGCTTATTCTAAATTACAAAACGTGAAATTAAAACAGTATTTTAGTTTATAAAAGATAATAAAAGTTTCTTGAAATCTACTGTAAAATTCACTGTACTTTTTTTTACTTTTAATGTAATTTTGTCGTAAACACTGTAAATTTGAGCATGAAACACTGTAATATCATTTGTCTCATCTGGTAACAATGGGCTGAATGTAAATGGGGCATACGGAACTTCACATACACACGCGCACGCGAGCGTGTGGGTTGTCAGGTCCGCACACAGTATATATTCAGTAATCTATGGTCCGCACCCGCTCGTACTTCACAAACAGCTAAAGGGGCATTTTCATAAGTATTTAAGAGTAGAGTAATAATTAATTAATGGGGTATTTATAAAGTGATATCATCTGGTTGGGCTGAATAAATATATAAAAAGCAGTGATAAATATACATAAGTATATATTAAACATACTAACATAAATGAATAAAATCCCAACCAGATGGAAGCCCTCGGCAGGTGAGACCAAACAGCCGAGGGTTAGGGGTAAAGAGAAAGAAACCGTCGGACGATGCGGGCGGTATCAGTTTTGGTTAATAATGATATAATAATACTTAATTAATTTACTAACCAAAATTGACAAAAGGGGATAAAATATGTAATTTATGCCATCTATTGGTAATATGTAGTAGCATCAGAAAGCCTCGAATTCTTGTAACGAATTTTGTTTCATGTTGAAAATAAAAGATGGCGCCACTTATCAGTTTAAAAACTTTAATAACAGTTTATTTTGAAGACTAAATAAATTCAATGTAAACATAAGCTTAGTCCTTATTTTTACTATTAAATCGCAAACAAACTAACAATCCACATTATATTCTGTTAGGTTTTTTTTATAGGGTCAGTGTGACAAACTTTGAGTACAAAAGAGCATGTAGTCACTGGATGCTATGCTCCACGGATAAACCTACATCTATTCTCGTTTAGATTCAGAATGCAGATATGCGTGGTCACCTCTGAGGACTAAAGTAGAACGTCTCGTTTTCAGTGAAAAGGTCCTCTGATCTCTACACTCACCGTACTAAACACAGCCGTGTAAAGCTGCTAGGTATTTTACACTGGTTGTCTGCGAGAGCGTGGTAACTCCGCGGGCAAGCCGATGCATTCGTGCCACAATTATAATATAGCAGGAACATGGCTCTACCAAGTAAAAAAAAAGGTATGTCAGTGTTAGCTATTTGGCTTTTACAGCTTCATCTAACTTAAGGTGTGACCTGATGCTGAGTTACTACAGCAGCCCATGGAAACCAGCAGCAAACGAACCAGACTACACGTGCGTTGATACTTGTTAAATCTAGAAGAGAAAGTTTTAATTATATGCCTTATAAGCTCATAATTCAAAGGCTATAATTATTATCCTGTCTTTTTGTGTCCTTTAAACCGGAACCGCGTAGCGTCAATAATATATACTTAAGTAGTTAATATGAATAGACAGCACACCGTTGCTTAGCGTCACAAATAATTAGGTAGACGATGGTAAATGGTAACCTACACAGATAGAGTCCTAGGCGTAAGAGGACATACAGCTTTACTCAACTAAAGTATGAATCACCCTAATTAGTATTAGTTAGTAGTAGTCTCTATAATATTAATTTTCTACGATTGCGCCGTATCTATATATACGACTATAGTAGGTGAATAGCAAACTTTAATTTTTAAAGAAGTATATATAAAAAATGTAATTTAGATATTAAGTACGTATTAGAAATTGGAAATTATTTATTTGGACAGGCTCCTCGTCACGGAGACTGAGCTTAATTCATTTCAATACCGTGTCAAGAGAATAGTATTTCATTCTTCCGTGAATAATTCGTTATCTGCTGTTCCCGCTAATGTAACAAATTGAATAGATACCATAAGTTCGATACGCATTGTAAAATATCGCCCACCTTATGTTATACCTAATATATGCCATAACATATTATACCTCTAAATAAAATCGTGCCGACACGAAAAAATGGCGTTATTTGAATGCCGACCGATAATTTAAATGTAGCAACAACCGCTTTTAGCTTACAACCTTAATTGACTTAAAAATGCTTATCAATACGTTATAAATACACGACGCATATGCTTATATAAAACCGTTCAAAGTAAACCTTAAAACATATGTACTGTAAGTTTATTTCTTGTGAGACAAATCCTTAAACTTGTTCCCTTTTGCCGCTAGAGCAAAGTTCGAAGCACGATGCACGCTCACGACTTTCTGAACAACTCCGGACATGACATTCCACGTTTCGTTGTAGATTAGAATGGGACGGATAGCGAGCCACCCGCTGAAAAAAACGAGACAAGCAACCACGGAGCAGTCCACGTGGACTGCTTAATATCAACACAGGAGCAACGACCAATGGAAAACGGTACCACTAATGTATTTCTCACCTCCGCACTCACACCGAGGCCTGTTGCCACTTTTGTTCTATACATACAATTTTCAACTTTATGTTAGCCGTTTTAAGTTTTAAATGTTGTGATAGGGTATCCGGGGTGTCTGTTTTCAGAATGACTTATGGAAAATGGTTCGTTGTAATTTGAGCGTTATCACTTACCAATAAGGTATGTTGTTGGGGACGAAGTGTCCTGCGGCTCTTGAATTTAAAACGATTCCCAAGAACACGGGCGCAACTTGGTGAAGGTTGGAGGAGGCCGCGGCGTAAACTGCATCGGCTCGTCACAACGCTGACACCCCACCCACCCTGCTGCACTTCCGCTATTATTGTAGTAAGTTCAAAGTATTGCACGTTTGTGTGTGTTTTCCAAGTCAACTGTTGTGCTGAGGCACGAGGTTTTCACAGCACTCGAGAAGGTATGCACCGCGTGTTCTGCCCGCCGCGCCTCTCCATGCTCCCTATATTTCGTTGTTGCAATATGTCGCATTTTGTTTGACCACTGCGAACGTTTGACTAGCTAAACAAAGGACGTAACAATTCAAAATAAAAGCTCAACGCGAATTCAGAATTTCAATGTTTTGATATTGAAGTATTATACTTAGATACGTAGATACGTATACGTAATAGGCACATAATATCTCAATGTGTTTTGTAATATATTTACTGTACAAGTACCTATCCCCATTTTATAAATCTAGGTATTTATTTGCATACCTATTGTAGTTACTATTGATTTGAATGTTTCAATAACGAGTCAAAAATTTACTAATTTTATAATGAGAAGTCGAAAAGGAAGATACTTTATTAAGCTGAAAGCCTAAACAGCAATAACCAGCAACTTTGAATAACAATAAACGGCCTAAATTGTAGGAATAATGGGTACAAAGAGAGAAGGGAAGGAATGTCATTGAAAAACTCATTGTGATAAACTTAAAATAAGGCAAATTTTAAAATAACAAATACGCTCTTTTGCAAAAATACGGATGCAAAATAGAATAAACATAATTTATAGTTTAAAACTTAAGCTTAGGCAACAATAGCCTTGGAGCGGCTGCAATTGCCACTTTAAATGACGTCTTTAGCAAACAAAAATGCTATTGCAATTACAAAAACATCCCAATTTCAATAGAGAAGGAGGCTGGGTACTACCACCTGCTTGGGACCCTATAATCGATAAAATTAAAACTAAACCCAAGCATACCACTGCAAGACCTCAGGACATAGTCAGTTCATTTTGCATAGATCGGACCATAAACAATAATTAAATAATAAATAATAACCCTTATTATACATTTTTTGTTTAATTGAATATTTAAACTTGGTAATAGAGAGACCTTGTCTATTTTCTGGAACTTTGTTGTAATAGCGTATACATTGCCCCAAGAATGAATTACTGACTCTGTGGAGTCGAGAAACTGGTAGCACCAGCTTGTGTTAGTTCCTAGTGTTAACAGAGTGTATGTCACTTCTAAAACTCACTGTGTACTAAAACTACCTTTATTTTTGTGAACATACATCAAATTTTAGTTAGAACCATTTTTCTAGGTCGTAAAACACCTTTTCTGTCTAAGATTATTTCAGTCACCACTTTTTTACATAATATAGCTTGCCAGCTAGACGTTATTCTGCCTTTTTCGACGACCCTGTCATGCCCTATGAAAAATCCTTAAATTAGCAAGAAAATATTGTGGGTCACTCATGGGCAAAAAAAAACTATCCTATCTCTCAAGTTGGACCAAACTGCACACGGTGTGCAAATTTTATTAAAATCGGTTAACTAGTTTAGGAG